GCTTGATTACCTTCAAGCCTTTAAGACCCCAGACACTATACTTTTTGATCGCTGGGCACCATCAGCTTTCTTCGCCACATTTGCTTATTCACCCGCTTTGTCTTCAGTGGTTGTGTCGGGAAGGTGAGCACCATAGAATGCCAATTTAATAGAAGAAAGTATTCTTGCTTTGAGGGAGTACTTGAGTGGAGGCCCAATGTAAGACAGTGTCTTATATTAACTTTTGCTCCCAAGGATGTGCTAGGTCTTATTTTCAGAGGATATCTTATTTTTCCATGAAGAAGAATCTGATACACATTTATTGTTTATTGTTTTGTTTTATTAAAAGAGACCTCGCACTTCCTGTCTGCTCCAGCTGCGCTGCGGCCAAGAGTGAGCTGCGCAGCAGCGCCCACCGCTCCGGTCCAGAGTTATGGTAGCTTTGGGGGCCTTATTTTCGGGGGGATGCCTTATAGTTCAGCGAGAGGCAAAACTGTAAGTAGGTCTTATTTTCGGAGGATGTCTTACTTTCAGGGAAACAGGGTAGTTCCCAAGTGAAAATGTATCCATTTTGTTGCATCAAAATGCAACAAAATGTCCGGAGAGAAGGTTCACTGTAGACTCATTACTATAAAGGCTAAAATTAGTTGAAGCTGGAAAAAAAACTGAGCTTACAATGGTTTAATCAAATTACTGCCTAAAAGAATAGTGTCATTCTCTGTTTGTTTTAATAGGAACACTTCACAAATTTGCTTGCCATTCTTGTGCAGGGGCCTTGCTAATCTCTTTATTGTTCCAATTTTAGTATATGTGCTGACAAAGCAAGCACCAGTCGTTTTCTTTTTGGACTTGAGGGGGGGTAGAATGTCTGGAAATTTATGGAAAGCCCCCTCCCCAGAAGAATGAACTACAGAGGACAGCACTGAAGCTACAGGGAGGTGGTGGGGGGTGGCTGCTCAAAACACACTGTAGCAAACTAAGAGGGAAGGAGAGAGAAAGAAAGAGTGAAATGCAACCTGGCTCACCAGTCCCAAGGATGATATGACTGCTCAGAGCAATGCACAGAGAGGACTATAGGGACCACTCCACTACGAAACATGATATTCCTCATTGACCCATAGTGCTATGGGGACCAACACTGGAGACACAGTGTGGGAATTGTGCCTGATTTGACACCACTATACCCCAGGGCGAAACACGAAGGGTGTGCAACCAAACAATGAAGTCCCCGAGGAATCCCCAAAATAGAATTTGGGGGCAGGGTGTGACACCTCATCAGACTCCTCCAGAAAGCATTCATAAAAGTCAACAGACAGACCTGGAACTATTTATAGGCTTTTTGTTTTGTTTTTCCATGTCTATCTAGATAAGATAGGCAGGATAAACAATCCCAAAGAGAAAACAATGGGACTGATGGTTGGGGGGAGGCGGGGTAGGGGAGTGGGGAAGGTGGGAAAAAGGAAGTGGGGTGGCCAACAAACCTAGGCACAAGGGAACGAGTGATCTAAAATCTATGGTGAGGACAGCGTAGGATGCCTGGTGGGGCTTGATCAAGTGCAATGTAGCAGAAAGGAAATACCGGGAGCTGAATGAAGTTTGAATATGATAGTAGGACACGTGGAAAGTAAAAGGAAACAGAGGAGAGAACTAGGAGACAAAGGACAGTTATAGAGGTATAATGGGAGCAGGGATACCATGAGGGTAGGGGGCAGGTGGGGAGAAAGGGGAACTGATCACAATGATCTATGTATAACTGCCCCCCACCCCAGGGGGATGAAAAACAGAAATGTGGGTGAAGAGAGACAGCGGTCAGTGTTAAGATATGAAAATAATAATAATTCATAAATTATCAAGGGTTCATGAAGTGGGGAGGGTGGGGGAGGAAAAAAACGAGGAGCTGATACTAATAGTTCAAGTAAAAAGAAAATGTTTTGAAATGGATGGCAACATATGTACAAATATGCTTGACACAAAGGATGTATGTATATTTTTTCCACTACACATAAGAGCTGTAAGAGCCCAATAATATGATTTTTTTTTAAAGAGAAAGACATGGAAAGGTAAAACTCTTACTTCTCAATGACTTGAAGGGAGTATCAAGGTATTGGCATCAAAGACCACGCAGTCCGACCCAAACAAAGTACACAAAAGTGTTTAGGAGGTAAAGGCTGAAGAAGGGAAGATCATGGTGCATCTAAGGCAAGAGGAAGCACTTCACTTTTAGATACCTTAAAGGGTCTAGCAGTCTCTATGACAAATACTCTAGGGCTAAGCAAGAGGCTGACATAGACAGCAAATAAATGTCTGGGAGTTCCTGTAAAGAGCCATCTGAGTCTGAGAGGGCAGTGATTGTTTTTTATTATTGTTAGAGGTCATCTCTAGAACTTCTACTCCTGGATGATGACCCTTGGCTCATACAACTGACTCCCAGAAACAAACAAACAAGGATGCCTAGTCTAGAATATGGCCGCATACCTCATGCTTAAGGCCCCTGCCATACTCATTATCTAGGAAGTACTCACAGTATTCATTTGCTCATTTGTCCTCAATACAAGGTGCTGCAGTTCTCAAGAGAGAAATACAAAAGAGCAGTCTCATTGTTTTGAGCTCTTTAAAAAACATTAAATTAACCCTTAATTTCCCTAGCTTCTTTCACATGGAGGAATGGTGTGTTTTGTTCAAATCCAATGAAGTTACAGAATCTAGGCCCACAGGAGTAAAGTTAGGAGTGCCCAATAACTTGCTGTAAAGACTGCCTCTGCACCTGATTTAACAGGTGTGTTAGAACATCTTACCTCACAGGACTAAATATGCTCTTGGCCAAAGCAAACAGAATACTCTCTGCAATCAAGCCAACACTTCATCTCTCCCCAAAAGGAAGAAAACAAATGAGATCTTTTTCCACGACCACCACCCCCACCCCCTACAACCATTAAAAGTAGAAAATTTTATAACAAGAAGTTTCTGGCTCTCCTAGATAACATAATTGCCAATAGGTTCTAGCCTCTAGTTTGGAAATTCAGTTAAAAAAAAAAAAGAAAGATAAGATTATATTCTCATATGCAAAAAAGTACTTGAAAGTCTGAATCCAATTAGCTTTCACCCACCATTTCACTGAGGCCAGAAGCACAATGCCCTAGAGGGCCATTGTAAGAACATTTTTACCGCGCATTTGTCTATCCAGCTGCCCTATTACAACTACACACCAAATATCCTGAATCACTGGGGTGTGGATTCCAAGTTAGAAAAATGGAGAAAATAAACAAAATAAAAACAGCCAACAATTAAAAAGGCAGTTTATTCTTAGGAGAACTAATAGAAGATATGGCCCCAATGTACACAATACTATCAGCCCAACCTCCATAAAGATAAAATGATATCCTAGAAACTTCACCCAATCTTAAATTCACCTCATTTCTGGCTATCTCCATCTTAGCTCAAACCTTGCTTTCTCATTTGCAGGGACCGCTGGGGCTAAGACATTTACTAATACTCCACCATATAAAATCTTACCTAGTTCCTAAAAAGCCGATTGCCACTAAATCAAATTCCTACTCAGAGAAGTACCACATAGGTTTCCAAAGCTGTAAATTTTTATGTAAGCAAACTGGCCTATCTTTCTCTAACAAAATGTCAGAGATTCAAACCCAGAGTGGTTGCTACCAAGCCTCCTTATCGAGTTCTTAAGAAGGTTAAAAAGAAGACATTTTCTACTCCTCATTGGTTTCTAAGAACTTAATGCTCTTTGACTGAAAACTCGAAGATAAACCAAAGCATATACACATCAGCACTTGAAATAGGCACAAATGAGTCAGGTCTTGTATAGAATTTAGCTTTATCCTTGTAATGTGATTTTACCCTATTCCTAAGGAATAACTCTAAACCTTTGGAATTTCCTGAATAAAGGAGGTGCTTTTGTTAATTTAAACACACTTTTGTTTTTGTGCATATGAATATGGGGGCTGGGGCTGGGGGAGAGGGGAGGGCCCTGGGGCCTGACCAGAAAGACTGTTAGCCTGATTATCAGCTGACCTCAAGGAGAGAAGGGAGCATGATTCAATCAATCACACCTACATAATGCAGCTAATAAAGGCCCCAGACAAGGAAGCCTGAAAGAGTTCTTCTGGTAGGTGAAAGATGTTGATATATGTAAGAGTGCAGCCACCCTTTGTGGGACATAGAAGCTTTGCATTGGAAACTGAATCAGACCTTGGACCTCAACTCATGCTGATCCTGATTTGTATCCTTTTGCTAGAATAAATCTTTAATCACAGAAGGATGGCAAAATTTTGTTTTATGTTTTGGACAGGTTATCTGGACACACTAGTTCCTGGGAAAAGACACAAAGCTTGGTAGAGGGTCACAGAAAAAGAGACAGACCCTCAATGAGATTAATTGACACAGGTGCTGCAACAATGGGTTCAAACATAATTGTGAGGATGGCGCGAGTATAGGCAGTGTTGGAGATGACTCAAGGGGTACCTAATCACAACAGCAATCATAAGTATAGTACTTTCTGTGAATTCTGTAAGTTGTCCCAGTGAATTTCCAACCCAAAGCAGTAGTGGGTACAGGTGAAAGTAAAGAAGCCTAAGGAAGGCCACTGAACTGGCATCTAGAAAGAGTAGTGGGAAAACCCTGAATCAGTAGCCAGCAGGGTGTAGTATGCACTCTTAGGCTAGTGGCTGGCATCTACCCATTTGGTAGTCACAAGGACAGTGTCCTTGTAGCATCTCAATATCTGCCTATCTCTGGGTGACTACGGTCAGAGAGAGGTAATTGAAAAAGTGGGTATTTAATTAATTCTCCAAATTTGGATATTGAATCTGTCCATTTTTATGTAATAAAATCCCTTGTTTCACATAGTAGTAATTCATTCTTTCTGTATTTGAAAGGTCACTACCCCTTTAGCATCTTATGAATTTAGCAGTATAGATAGCATTGTGAGACTTTTTAGTTTTAAATTGTATCACAGCTCCTTGGTTTGTGGAAAGCTACAGTTTACAGTGTGAGCTCACTCTATTTCCATTTTGAGTTTTGACATAAATTCAGTCCACTGTGTTCATTCTGACCATTAACAGACAACAGAAAAAGCTTTGCCCTGAAGCAGAGAGCAGTCAAAAGTGGATTACTATGACTCCAATAGCCAGTCAAGTACTTGCCTGGGCATGACTGCGGGGAACTGAGAAACAGGAAAAGAATATATGCGGACAAATTCTTTATTCTCATAATTAAGAAGCCTGCGAGGCCAGAATTCTGAGTGGAGGGAGACCTTCACATGAGTCCCAATCACATTCTCATAATTAAAAAACATCCCCACAATATCCTTCCATAATAGTGCTACCTTAAAAGTTACCCCTTACAAGCACATGGCTGATTGCTATCTGACAGGCAGCTGTATCTATAGGAGCAGACATGTTGCTTTTGTTCTCCCGGCTCAGGGGACAGTGCCTGCCCCACCAATGGTGTTAGGTTACTCCCCCAATGAACTCAGGAACCTCTGGGACAAGATACTGCCCGCTTGTTATATATGTAGCAGCTACATGTAATTATGGGGGCTTGCATGCTATAATGACTATACAAGTTGGTGAAAGAATGCATTTGCTCCCTCCCACTGGGACCTGGTTCCTGATGCCATGGAGGAGATGAGCATCCCAAAACTTGTGTCTGTCTCTTAATTTTTTCCCTTCAATTACACAATCATCCTTTGACCCATCCTGATGCGGGTTGGATCCCACACATAACCTTAATGGAAATTGGCCTATCAGGGCCACATGGTCATGAATTATAACCTGGGCAAGGTACTCAGAGGGGCCCCAGAATCAATCT